AGTGCTTCTAGAAGTCTATCCCCAGGTATAAGTCGTGTTTCTGAGATGGCACAATGTAAATAGGTAAACATTTCTTAACATTTGCGTATTCTATCTCAACCTTAATACGCCCTACTATACGCTGAGGACTTCCATCAGCCGTCACAGCATTCCTTTAAATCGCCCTAAAAGGCACATGTCCTGCCTCTACTTCGGCTGCTAAACTGCAACCTACACAACTAATAGACGCACCTGAATCCAGAAAGCACAGTGCGATCCAACAGCCGAACTGGAAAAAATGGTCGAGGATCTCCAGCTGCATTGACACAAATGTAATCTAGGCCGAGTTCGCAATGCTTCACGGTTTGCCAGAAGGTTTTCATACGCCTTGAACTACGCGATTTCGGTTTTTGTAAGTCGGTTAAATAATTGATTGTATGAACAGTTGGAGCAGAGAACTAATATTACTAACTAACACATATAAAGAAATGGGATTGTCGACTTTAAGCATCGTCTTTCTTACTCCATCGTTGTCACTTGATTTCGTAAGGCACTCGAAGGCGTTGGTCTGAACGGCGACCCTATGGGAGCTCCGCAACCATAACAGAAAACTCTCCTTTCGGCAAAACAGTCCTGGTATCTGTGGCCCTCTTTTCGACAGTTCCAACACACCGGTGAAAACGTCTCCATTTCTAAATCTGTCTCTGCTTCTTGCTCGCTTCGCTCCTCAGAATCTTGAACTGTTTCCGAGATCTCTCGCCTGAATGGGCTGGCTTTTGCATACCCGTGTGTCTTCTTGACTTCATCCAAGAAGACCTCGCATCTTCTACAAGTTTCTCTCAGCTCTGTAACCGTTCGGATTTCTACGTTAAGAATTTCATGCCTAATCTCTGGACGTAAATTATTCTTTAAGACTCGTACAAGTTTGCGAGCAGACCATGGAACTTCTAATTGATCCACTAATCCCGATATGCTATCGTAAAAGCTGTCGAAAGATTCATTGGTCTTCTGCTTACTATTTCTAATGAGCTCTTCAACATCTACATCGTCCCTTTCCTCCCGCGTTGTACTCTATTCACGGACTTGTAATAGCGCCAATAGAACTCATAGGCTTTACCTTCGAAATGAACACTGGCATTTCTGGACAGTATTGAGAAGTTTCCCTCTAATGTCTGGTTTGTAAGTGCCTCAACTCTATATATAAAGTTGTCCACTTACACTCCGACTCCAGAGTACTTCAACTTCCATCCATTCAGGATCTGTACAACCTTATCCGGCCGGTTATTCAAGTCAGATCCAATGTTTCTGTGAGAGATGGGTGATCCAGCATTGTTTGCTGCTTACATTCCTCTCGTAGAGTCTATTTTGACCTTCCGTAGTGCGTGAAGGCGAAGTAGGCCTTATTCCGCTATTACCATTTTCATTTGCTGGGGTTGCGGCGAAAGCGCGAAATCTTTTTTATACTGAACTCTGAACTAACTCCACAAGTTTCTCTGAAAGAGTCGTGAGCAATCTCCTCTCCATATGTAACCAACTACTAGGCTCCTCAAGATGGGCTTGGCTTGCCTCACTTCTTTCCAAGATCATACCTTTAGCACGCGTTTGTGAACCAGCTGGCCTACAAGGCAATAGGCAAACGGGACAATAATCGCTCCCCTTGAAATGACTCTCAATACATTTCTTGTGATACTCGTTTTGACATGAAGTAATATACGAGTCCGCGGCACCTCTTATTTCCCTCTCGCACATTGGACACACTGATGTCGAAGCATCAACTTGAGATTGTATCATTTGAGAAAAGAGCAACTAACGATCGAATAAAGACAACACTATAAATTAAAACTCAACGCGTACTTTATTGCGTTTAGCTAACGCGAAAAAAGATGATTGAACTCTGCAGCGTGTCGAAGTGTATTAATAATTATTGTTTGCCGATATTCTCTTCGTTGAGACTTAGCTTTAGGGGTTATAGCTAGATAGTAAAAGATAATTGAAGATAGTTTAAAGATAATCTATTGAATTATTCCGGAGAGAACGCCGTTCACACTGTCTGACTTTCTGGCAAAAATATATCAACTTTCCTCAACTTTGGGTGGTTAAGACACTCTCGCAAGACAGGTAGTTTATTTTCCAAATCTCTCAGTTTTCGGAAAATTTGACTTGAAGTTGTGTTAGACTAACCGTTGTTAATTTCTCGTGGCCAGTAGATCAACCTAAGAGACTTACTTTTTTTAAACTGTTTTCCGCAAACAATTGAAGGTCAAACAAATAGTTCTAACAAAGTAAGTAAAAGAGAGTCGAATTTTGACAACGTGATTTTTTTGTAGCTCTAATCAAAAAGAGCAACTAAAATTGTACTCCTCTTGCGATCCAAAACATATACAGATTAAATCAACTGATTCGACATAAAAGTATTAGGGAAATGAGGAAAATGTAGTAAATTCTGGACTTTATTTACGATTAGTCCTAACGAGTGCAAAAAGTTATATCCATTAAGGCCCTTACGTTGGGCGCCACTAATTTTAATAAAAATAATTAATTATAACTGTAACGTGCAACCTTATATAGCACAGTATTGAACACAGATCTGTCCCCGCGGGGCACGCTATATTATCCAGCTCAATCTCGTCGGCTTTGGGGGTGGAGGTCTTGCTAATCCAGATCTGGTAGTTGCCCATTTTTATTAAACAAGGCATTGAGCGTGCTTGCGACGACATACGAAATTAAATCGTAGACAATGAAGAAAAACCCGGAGAATGTAAATTAATTCCAGAAGAGAGATAGATTAAATTAGAAGAAAAAAAGTAGGAAAATTCGGAAAATGAGACGCCGATGTTGTTACGTCTGTGGCCACTGGCTTCAATTTTTGATTCGCGTGATCACTGGCTCCAATTTTTGATTCGCGTGATCCCTATAGATACCCTTACGACCGCATAATAACCTGCAGAGTTTAAGCGAAATAATTACTCCATGGTTGTGTTCAAATACATTTTTAATAATCTAAATTAAATTCTATACCTATGTTGCCAGTGCGGGTTTCTCCCCTTTTGACATTGGGAAAAGACTTAAACGGAACACAATTGCAAAGGAAAAAAGAACCTTAGAGATGTCTAATAACCAAAAAAACCTATTGTTCGTACCCAAAGGTACTCAACATGACCACACCCAACAAATCAAGCAGTAGCCAAGTTGGGAACAGTACCAGGCGCTCAGTAGCACCCACTGCATATGAGAATGGCTGATCAGCATATTATATGTCTCACTAACTCACCGTCTCACCGACTCAACGGCACACTGACCGGCCAATGCAGTCAGCACATTTTGCAGTGTCTGCCGAGCCAACAACACAAACTGCTACCATAATCAAAACTCCCTGACCTACCTACCTACTTTAGAATATAGCGCACTTCACTAATCATTACACTAAACTTTCGTCTTCCAAGTAGTATATAAACATGTGCCAAATGAAGAATAAATCAGTTATCAACGCATCTCATAACTCCGCGGTTCTACTTCCTACCTCTGGGAATAGGGCTCGTAATACACTATCTCCACTAGCAGCTGACCCACGTTAGCTCACCCTCAGCGCAGTTCAGCATCGCCTGTGGTCCGGCATCGCAGTAACCATCGTTACCATTGCCGCGACGCGATCGTCCTGCCATCAAAGCGTCCCCGTGCCAGCGACAAGTGCTCATTACCCCCTTGTCCCGCGGTGTGTACTTTGGTTAGGCACAAACACCAATAGTTTGTTTTCCATTAGGATAAACAGATATAATTACTAGGTACGCATAGTATGAGGTAATCTTAAATTTTAATAAAGGGTCTTAATATATTTAAAATAAATAGAAATTTCATTGTTGGATTCATAGATAAGTTTTACTTAAAGCTTTAAAGGGCTCTTATTCTTCAAAAGAAATATTTTCCATTATTTGGTTCTAAATGTTGTTCTTATTTTTTCTCGGTGTATTAACGGCTTAATTTTATTTCATTACTAGTGTGGTTTTTTTTTTTTAACCGTTCTACTAATGAACCAAGTTCGGCTTTGGGACAACAAATGTTTTACTAATGGTCATATAAATCTTCCATTCAATTTGCTATTAGCTGCATGTTCTCTTTGACTTTTGTTTGACCATTTTATTAATCATTAAATTCAAATGCCGAGTATAAATTAACCAAAGAATAAAAATTTTTGTAGTAATTCACTTTGTATACTCTCCACGACGAAAGATCGATCTCCCGAGCGGTGGCTGTAAAAGAATAGCGACTCTGGTTCGCAAAGGGATAAATAAATACAGAGTATTCATATGTTTTAGTCAACGAACCAGTTTCTTAATTAATAATTCATAAAACCGAACCCTTTACATGATTGTATTTATACTAGATTCGTCGGAAAGTATGTAACAGGCAGAAGGAAGCGTTTCCGACCCCACAAAGTATATATATTCTTGATCAGGATCACTAGCCGAGTCGATCTAGCCATGTCCGTCTGTCCTTCTCTCTGTCCGTCCGGATGAACGCTGAGATCTCGGAAACTTTGAGAGCTAGGCTATTGAGATTTAGCGTGCAGATTCCTGAGCTTCTTACGCAGCGCAAGTTTGTTTCAGCAGAGTGCCACGCCCACTCTAAAGCCCACAAACCGCCCAAAACTGTGGCTCCTACAGATTTGATGCTAGAATAAAAATTTTAACTGAAATGTATTGTTCTCATCAATACCTATCGATTGACCCAAAAAAAAGTTTGCCACGCCCACTTTAGCGCCCACAAACCGCGAAAACCTGTGACGCCCACAATTTTCATGCTAGGTAAAAAATTTCAACTGAAATGTATTGGTCTCGTCAATACCTATTGATTGGTCCAAAAAAATTTGCCACGCCCACTCTAACGCCCATAACGCTTAAATCTGTATACCGCCGGTAGGTGGCGCATTTTAATCTCGCTTTGCTACTTGCATATCTCTATTTAGCTGAGTAACGGGTATCTGATAGTCGAGGTACTCGACTATAGCGTTCTTCCTTGTTTTATTCTTACATTCGGTTCTACTTAAGCATATATTTTCTGTTCCTAAATAAATTTTATTTTATTTAATATTTAATTTCACGTCATTTCAAAACTTTTCCTTCAATGTGTCATTCTGTGCATATTTAGTGACTCTGGCCGATCTAGCAATCATCCGGGTGGGTTAAATGTTAAAGAAATATTAACATTGTGCGAATTAATCGTTGTAGCACGGCTGTTCACTATTTACTAATGTTCCGGCAATAGGCGAGCCTGAGCTGCGGATTCTTTTTCTGGCTCTCCCTAACACCTTTGGATAATTTTCCATGCGCACGAGATCGAGCCCTGTAGTCGCGTTTTTGGTCAATTTAAACACTGGCCGACTGAACTGGAATCCTGGGGGACTACATATTCACTCTGTACAAACTATCGAGCTACTGCTGCTCTTGTTTGTTGCCTATTTAATTGCTGCTGCTCAGTTAACTACAGAGGGTGATCCGCTGATGCGGTTAGAAAATGCGATTTTCTGTCCGTTAAGATTAGATAAACGCTGTGAGAACACTAGGCCTTCGCGGTGGGAAACTTCTGGTGCTTGGTTGACTACAGAAGGTGCTCCTGTGGACGCGGTGGTCGACCGCGTGACTACAAGCTCGGCTGCCGGAGGGTGCTCCTGTGACGCAGTGGGCGACCGCGTGACTCCAAACACGGCTGCCAGGCGGTGCTCCTGTGGACGCGGTGGGCGACCGCGTGACTCCAAGCACGGCTGCCAAGAGGTGCTCCAGTGGACACTGTGGGGATCCGTCGATCTTCCAGCGTTTGTTGGGCGCGTCGATGCCCATGCTAACCAGCACTTGCTGCAGCTGCGGGTGGCCAATGCGGCTCGCTATTCCAATAGGATTAAAGAAAATCGGTAAAACGAACGTCGTCAGAAACCCGCTTAAGCCCGGTTATCATTTTTCAGCTTACCTAGGCAACTGCCAATATAAATAAATTTCATACTCGGTTTTCAGAACACTAGTTCGTATATTTCTTTCGGACTTAGCTTGCCGCACTCTAATTAAACGCATGCGATCGCTTTGGAAACTTTGAAAGAAAAAAACGTGTCCGGAATTCGGATGCGGATCTGTGAAGTTGGCCGCGGTGCGGAAGCCGAGCTTAGGATTGCGGCTCTGTTGCAGCTGATTTATTCCAGCTGATCTAAAGCAGCTGCAGCTGAGGTCCACTAATTTGGCAACGCAAAGCTAAGTGCATATGTACCTATGTACTTATAGAGCCTACTTTCAGGCTAACTATATATATACGTGCTCGCAAAAACACTTCAGGCGCTGTTACAAAGTAAATCGTCCAAATAAACAAAAACTTCGTTTCGCAGCTGTGGTGGAATTACCCTGTCCATTAATTTGGACATGGTTTGTCTCGCATGGCAAAGTCCAAACGGCATCGCTTTAAATTGGTACAGGGGTCTTCCGGAAACAGTGTATGCCGTTTTGTCCATTAAGGCCTCTTCTAAGGGGTCATGACAGTAGGCAGTCCTTTAAGTCAAGACTTGTAATAAATTCAGCCTTGGGTAACCTGCTTAGAATTCCACTAATCTGGGGTAGCGGATACGCATCCTTTTCGGTCAACGCATTTATTTTCCTACTGTCCAGGCACAACCGAAATTTTCCTGGTTTTTGTACAAGGTGATGACCAGGCACTCTCTGATTCCTCGATGACTCCTAAGTTCAACATTCGAACTACCACAGCATACATTAATTTATCCATTGCTTGCGAAACCGGAGTGATCAAAGTGGTTTTTCCCAATCCTTTTTGAGTAAGTGAAGGAAACAAGTTCACCACCTTTGCCAGCTTCGTCCTCTGATCATGCTCTACAGACTTTAGGTCCAGTTCGCATATGCTAGCCAATATTGGAAGAAGATTAAACTTGCGCCAAAAATCAATACCCAAATAAAGGTTTTGTTTCAGTGTTGGCACTTTGTAAATGTCTAATTCTTCTGTTCTTTTGTCATAGCATACCGGAAGCCTCACTTTGCCAACTATTTCTTATTTGTTTCCATCTGCCGTGCTAACACTTGGAGCTATTTCCTTAAAGTTTATGCTACTGTGAGGATGCGTGAAACACACCCTCCACATTTCGCCACCTTTATTCTTTCCGCCACGAAGGCATACAATTTGATATTACGGCACGACTGCCATTTATTTATAAGTTATAAGCATAAGTTAGCCATAAGTCGTTACGCCACGAAGGCAATTTATTTAAGTTCAAACTAGAAAGTAAGCTTATCAGATTTAAATATCGCGCGCACCAGGGCTGGAAAACCACCCAGTGTTGGTCAACCGAGGGCCAACAGCTGATAGTGCCGATAGCGATAGGCGGGGGATCGATAAGAAACTGTGTTGGGAAACGGAAAAACCCGGCAAACCGAGCTTACATGCGGCCGCAAGGGCGGAAGCTCGACCTCATATTCCCGAATTGCAGAAAAGGCGACCAGACCAAGGAGCGGACTTCAACCCGGAGTGGTACAGCGGCACGAGCGTCGGCACGCCGGATCTAAGGAGTAAGTGGGACAGACAATAGAGATCAGACTGAGTGCGAGTAGGGGACCAGGAAAATAACTTGTAAAACTAGCGAGTAATAGAGACAAGAGAGAATGAAGAAGTATGTGTCCGTGTGAATTTGTGCATTTTTCGGGAACCCACGTGCAGTGATTTGAGCCGGTCGGGAATCGTGTTGCGCCAGAGAAGCTTACTCAGTGAAAACGACCACCCGATCGCCCGCAAGGAGCATAGGAAAGGATCGCCTCTGGCCACCCTCTCCTGGGAACCCCGCCCCAAATACGGTTTAGGTAGTCGCGAGCCACGTGCAGTGATTTGTGCCGGTCGGGAATCGTGTTGCGCCAGAGAAGCTTACTCAGTGCAAACGACCACCCGATCGCCCACAAGGAGCATAGGAAAGGATCGCCTCTGGCCACCCTCTCCTGGGAACCCCGCCCCAAATACGGTTTAGGTAGTCGCGAGCCACGTGCAGTGATCTGTGCCGGTCGGGAATCGTGTTGCGCCAGAGAAGCTTACTCAGTGCAAATGACCACTCGATCGACCACAGGGAGCACAGGGAAGGGTCGCCTCCGGCCATCCTCCCCTCGGATCCCTACCCCCTACCCCAGTAGCTTGTGAGTCGCACATCCAGAAGGAACGGCCACGCCGTCCCGTTTTGTTGGTATTTTCTCAGGGATCGGCTACGCCGCTCGTTTCGTTAGTATTTTCGCCGGGAGCAGCCCCGCCCTCCACTATACCTTTCGGATGCCGTGTTGCGCTAGAGCTGCTTACTCGGTGCAACGCGGATACTCTGGCCTCCTTTTCCCACAAATCCACGCGGCAACTCCCCGTCCAGTTTCGTCCCAATACTTTTCTACAAATTTAACTGGAGAGGACCCTGGCCGGACTGAGTTGTATCCCAGCCTATGAAAAAGGTCCTTACACTACTTGGTAGAAATTCTCGAGCTAAATTCCCTCCTAGACAACTCACGGCTGCCCCTGAATCTAACAAACCCTTTACTAGTAGTTCCAACAGCTGCACAGCTACAAACGGACGTTGGTCAGCTTTTGAGTGTTCTAGAGCATTGGTTTCTTTAAGGTGACTCTGCAGCTGCTTCATTTCTGACTAGAATGTTTTCATCCTAGTTATGCTCCGAGAATCCGTCTGGTGATCGTCTGTTTTTGAATTGTCGATCCCTACTTCAATTTCCTGCTCATTTCCTGGTAAGCACATGTGGTCATATGAGCTATTGAGAGATCTTACAGATGCTTCTGTCTCTGACTCGTACGCTTTGAAATCTAAATCTACATCGTTTTCCTCATCGACCTCACTTTGACTTGCTGAATCACATCCTACGAAATCTATAAAGTCTGAGGATCTAACGCCATCATCTAGGCGTGCGCCTCTGGGTGAACAGGGTTCGGGTTGTTTGTGTTGCAGCATCTGCGTGCGGCCGTGGAGGTTTTTTGCCAGACATTTCCTGCAATTCCTTTGAATACACTTTTTCTAACCCGCATCCATGACAAAACACCCGCCTCGCTTGCTTGCACTGTAGATGTCGGTGACCTTCTTAACGGAAATTCCCACCAAATTCTATCGCACCTACTTCACTCTCAACATCTAATTCACTATCAGGTATCTGACCGCCTTCTACCAGAACCTCCTGTATTTCCGCTATGTCTCTTTTAAAGGTCATTCTTTTTGCGTACCCATGGGTGCGCTTAACATCCTCCAAAAAGGACTCCCTACGTCGACAGACTTCGCGAAAATGTGACACACAGGTGATGTCTACGTTAAGAATCTCGTGACGAATTTCAGGCCGCAAGTTTTTCTTAAGAATCCTGACAAGTTTGCTGTTTCATTATCCAACAGTGAGCAGAACTAGTCATAGAAGTGGTCAAAGGTTTCTTGCTCTTTTTGTAGTCTCTGCCTTATAAGTTCCTCTATATCCCCATCATCTCTATCATCTCGGAACTGCTGCCTTAGACCCGCACAAAGTCCATTCCGACTTATATTTCTGACAGACTTGTGATGTCTCCAGAAGAATTATTTGGCTTTTCTCTCGAATAAGGAGCTAATATTGCGGCACGTGACCTCAAAGTTTTCCACTAACGTCTGGTTAGTAAGAGCTTCTACCCGATAAATAAAATGATCTATGGATAAACCTGTACCGGAAAAAGTAAGCTTTCAACCATTCTTTATTTGACCCACCTTATCGGGTCTTTGTGATACGAGGGTGGTCCGATAAGTACTTAACCTCCAAAAGAAAAACGAAAATTTTGGAAAAGTGGCGATTTATTTCTCAACTTAATCTCCTTTTAGCTCGATACACTTGACCCATCGATGCTTCAACTTCTTTAGCCCGTCTGAAAAATACGTTTTCTCGAGGTCTGCAAAATAGGCCTCTGTAGCGGCGACGACCTCCTCATTCGACGCCAATTTCTGTCCAGCGAGTGACTTTTTCAAGTTTGGAAATAAAAAGAAGTATCACGGGGCCAAATATGGAGAATATGGTCGATGGGGTAGCAGTTTGTAGCCCAATTCGACCAATTTGGCCTTGGCGAGGCCGGAAGTGTGAGCCGGTGCGTTGTCATGATGGAAGAGCCTTTTTTTCTTCGCCAAATGGGTCCGTTTTTTCTGCAACTCGGCGTCGAATCGGCCCAATAATTCGGCATAGTACAGCACTGTGACCGTTTTGCCCTTCTCCAGGTAGTCGATGTTGATCACACCTTGTGAATCCCAAAAAACGGTGGCCATCATCTTTCCGGCCGATGGGGCAGTCTTCGCCTTCTTCGGAGCAGGTTCGCCGGGTGAAGTCCTCTGTTTCGACTGTTCCTTGGTCTCTGGTGTGTACCAGTGGATCCATGTTTCGTCGACGGTCACGAAACGACGCAGAAACTCCTTCGGATTGCGCTTAAACAGCGTCCGATTCGGATGAAATTTCGACAGTAGCCGTCTACGAGAATGTACTAAATAAATTTCTCTTGCGATAGTGACGCCATCGGACGGTGAGGCTAAGTACTTATCGGACTGCCCTCGTAAGTCTGAACCTGTACCAACGCTTCTGCCCATCGAATGCTCTCTACCTCTTTGCGAATTATCACCGCGCCAAGTATGTACTTGCCTATCCTAATTCTGATTCGGTTATTGTACGTCGAAGGCGATAGGCGTTGAAAGCAGTTCTGGACATTTTTCTCTATCAATTGGGCCAATTTATCCATCAAGGTGGTTAAGATTCTGTTTTCCATACTGTTGAGTTGATCTAGACCAATAAAACTAGCCGTATTATTGGGAGTGGATGAACCCGAAAAAATAAATAAAAACGTTTTATATAAATAATATTAAAAATTCCAAAAATAAATAAGTCAAATTAAAAACCGTTAAACGTAATGCATGGACAAAGCCCTAAAACATTTGCAGTTCTGAAAAAACGTGTCTTTACAATTTTAGAAAAAACAAGGAAGAACGCTATAGTCGAGTACCTCGACTATCAGATACCCGTTACTCAGCTAAATGGAGATATGCAAGCAGCAAAGCGAGATTAAAATGCGCCACCTACCGGCGGTAGACAGATTTAAGCGTTATGGGCGTTAGAGTGGGCGAGGCAAATTTATTTTTGGAT